GCGGCTGGGAGGGCATCCACTGCGTAAAACATTTGCTGTAATAGTTTGCGGTTCATTCCACTGTGGCGACCCCAGATTAATATTGGGACTAGGCCAAAAAGAAAATGAATGAATAAATTATTATTATTATTATTATTATTATTATTATTTTTTTTTTTTTTATTCATTCTTTTATTTATTCATTTTTCTTCAGCTTAGTCCCTTTATCAATCAGGGGTCACCACGAATGAATGAACTGCCAACTATTCCAGCATGTTTTACACAGCGGATGCCCTTCCAGCTGCAACCCTGTACTAGGAAACCCCCATACACACTCATACACTACGGCCAATCCCCTATAGCGCATGTGTTTGGACTGGGGGGGAAACCGAAGCACCCGGAGGAAACCCACGCCAACACAGGGAGAACATGCAAACTCCACACAGAACTCAACTCGAACCAGAGACCTTCTTGCTGTGAGGTGATTGTGCTACTGAGCCACCGTGACACCGATCATTATTGTCGTTATCATTTCGGGCTGCTCCGCATGTTTGTATTTGATGATGAATGCAGAAACAGTAAATAAACTTTAATGGGCGGAGTTGAGAAGTGAAATGCAAACAGCCAATCAGAGTCAGAATATTTGCATATCAGCATTTCACTCACAGTCCTCTATTCTGACGGTTCATGCACAAAACAGAAAGTGCAGGACACAAACGCGTTCAGGGAGTGTCAGAATCCATATGTGCTAATATGAGGACAGGAAAATCCGCTTTGCACCGTGGCGCCTGGTCTAAAAGGGTTGAGTTTATTCTCTTAATGAGTTATAGGTGTGTTCTGAGAATAAACCAATCAGAGTCTCATCTCCCATTCCCTATAAGAGCAGCTGCCATAAGCGTATTTACTATATATGCTATTTACATGACGTAAAGTAAGTTCACTTTCGCTTTTACTCTCGTGATAGGGAAACCTTTACGCAGTTAGCCTATAAATATTTAATTTAGTTTGTTAAGTGCAAAGATTTGTTTCAAAACTATTTCTAAATTCAGTTTAATCTCCAGCAAAGGAATAAATAAACAATAATAATGAAGTGTGCCCAAACACCTGAGATATATCCTAAAACACATGCTGCCCCATATGATCCACCTGCAGGTGGACAAATCTAAGCTTGTTTTTAATAAAACAAATATAAATATGGATATAATAAATAATACTGATAATAATAATAACATTATACAAAAGCTAATTGAATGAACTGAAAAAGCCTCCCGAGATGAAGGATTCAAGGCAGTGGTTTTTAAAGTCATGTAGGCTATAAAATAATATGTTTTGTAATATTTTATTTCTTTATATTTATATCCTATATGTCCTTAATATTTAATATTTTTTCATATGTAAAGATATTTGTGTATTGCTCTACATCTTGTGTGTAAGCATTGTGTAAGCGAGGCGCACAACTAACGCGCTCTGCGCTGGACTTTAGACCGGGTTTGTTCTGGTCTTAAGAACAGACTATTACAGTTTCTCATAATAGCACCGCGCCAAAACTCGCCTGCTTTTCAGACCAGAACACCTGTGGGCGCACATATGAGTGCAGATGCATTTGCTATTTAAAAAGCGTGGCGCAACACCTCACAATGACCCTCGCGCTGAGCTGAAAGTAGCAAACAACAATTGCGCCACATTGCGCCGGGTGTATGATAGGGCCCGCAGTGTTCTACAGTCTTGATGATCGGGTTTTCTAGACTGAAGGAGACTGAATTGGAGTATCTTTATATATATTTCCTGCAGATTTCAGTTTGATTATTAAATACATATTTATCATTTTAAAAATAGCAAGTTAATTAGCATTCATTTAGGGAGATTGCAGGTAGCAAAGAATTCTGGCCCAGATTTGGCGTAAAGCTGGCACAGCAGCATGTGGGTCAAACAGGACCCGGGTTTGTCAGAGGTGGCAGCGTCTTTAAGGCGGCGCACAATACTCGGGCCGGATATCAGATGTAGCATTTGGCCAGATGCTAATAATGGACATGTGGGTCGTGTAGGTTCGGCCCGTCTCCACACATTTGTATTATGTTTGAAGAAAGACAAAACAATTCTACCAGCCAGGTCACTTGGAGGAACAGCAGGCCCAAAGCGCACCTAAAGGGCAATGCTGCATGGCATTATCAGCTTCACTGCAGTCAGAACACACCAACAAATCCGGCCCAGTTCAGGCTCAGGTAACCTGGCTGACTATTGGCCCAGATATGGTCCGTGTTTGGCTCTTGTCTGGAAGCCAGACTTGGTCCAGTCCTGAACTGGAATCCACTGTGGCATGTGGGCCAAGCAAAAGCTGGTTGTGTGGGCCAGAACTGGGCCAGAGATGTTTTGTTCTGTTGGTGTTATTTCACAATATTCAACAATATCAGGGTTCCCAGCATCAGGCAGCTCAGGTCAGCTGATGGTCATGTGTGTCTGAGGCCTGCTGTTGTGTTTGTGTGTGTGTGTGTGTGTGTGTGTGTGTGTGTGTGTGTGTGTGTGTGTGTGTGTGTGTGTGGTCATCTGTCAGCGCTGTAATGAAGTGTCTCCTCACACTAATGATGAGCAGAAGCAGATCCTCATCTCCTGCAGCCGCTGACAACATCTCAGACCTGCTTCTCACACACACACACAGACTTGCATCACACACACGACAGCAACCAGCACACACATACACACCCTATGCAGGAAGGGTTCAGGTTGGACTCCCGGCTGGGCCAGCAGTGTGTGTGTGTGTGTGTGTGTGTGTGTGTGTGTGTGTGTGTGTGTGTGTTATCTGACATGATCCTCCATTATCTGAGATGAAGTGCTGTTATTGACTGGAGACGCCCTGATTCTTCTCGAGACGCTGTTATTTCTCAGGAGCTGCTGTAGTTTGGAGCTCAGTATGTCAGAGATGTGCTTGTGTGACGGGAGTGTGTTCCTGACCCACGTATTCCTCTGCATGAGCTCCTGAAGCGGAGCAGATGCGGCGCTCAGGTGTGTTTCTGCCAGAATGCTCAGCTCACGCCGCTCCCTGTATACACGCTTCAGTCAGACCCACAGTGCGACAATATTACTTTCAACAGCACACANTTCACCTCTNCTTCATAAAGACCACCCTATATANCTTTACCCAATAACACACATACCACCACAACCAATAAACACATATCACACANCACACNNAANACACCAATCAAACAANCCAAACACCACACTCCCACTTCAANAACCCAACAAAACACCACCNNAACAACACACACACACACACACACACACACACACACTCACACACTCACATGTGTCTGTCGCTGCTGTTTTTGACTGTTTGTCTCCATCTAGTGTCTGAGTAATGCGCAGGTTAGTGTATACTCCATCAGCTGATTTAGTTTAAGAATGAATATTAGATCTCAGATCAGTGCTACGTGTGTAATGTTTGTTTTGTTTTCTACATCAGCAAGGTTGTTTTCTCAGAATAACTCCTTCAGTCTTGTACAGCAGTGCTGTGGTTCACACCGGGCTATGGTTGCATGGGAGTGGCAAGTAATGATAAAGGGGATGGGCTACTGATAATGAATGGGCAGAGCTACTGATGCATGGGAGGGGCTATGGTTACATGGGAGTGGCAAGTAATGATAAAGGGGAGGGGCTACTGATAATGAAAATCTACTGATGCATGACAGGCTTATGATAGATAAGAAGAGCTACTGATGATGAAGGGGAGGAGCAACTTATGCGTGAGATGGGAGGAGCTACTGATGATGAAGGGAAACTGATGATAAATGGGGAGGAGCTATTGATGTATGGGAGGGGCTACTGGTAAAGGGGAGGAGCTGTTAGTCGCTGAGCTTGGATTAGTTTATTTACTGAACTGGACTGAGCTGTGTTAGTGGTTCTGCTGGTGAGTGTGGTTATGTTCATCATAGTTTGCTGGTTTATTTCACTGATTCTGCTGATGATGAATGGTCTGAATGATCCTACAGTGAAACACTGCTCATTTGGGACGACACTAAATACCACACGACACGGTTGAGTGTATGAGTCCGCAGTATATAAGTGTTCAGTGTGTCATGTGTGACGCAGCCCTGGTGTGTGTTGTGTAAATGCATTATAAAGAAGCTGTGTGTGTGTGTGTGTGTGTGTGTCCATCTGCAGAAGAAGAGTCGTGAGGAGAGCGAGGGCGAGGGCAGCGGTGTGGAGATCCTGGAGAACCGGCCCTACACCGACGGCCCTGGCGGATCCGGACAATACACACGCAAGGTGTACCACATCGGCCAGCACATCCCCAGCTGGTTCCGCTCCATCCTGCCCAAAGCAGCGCTGCGCGTGGAGGAGGAGTCCTGGAACGCATACCCATACACACGCACACGGTCAGTATGAGCACACACACACACACACACACACGGTCAGCTCATTCTGCAGGACCCACAACACATTTAGAAAGGGTCAGTTCACACACAAATGATGTTCAGCCATGCAGACCGGTCACCATTGACTTCTACAGTAACAAAAACAATACAGAAGTCAATGGTGACCGGTCTCCAGCATTCTTCACAGGATCTTCTTTAGTGTTCAACAGATGAAGGAAACTCATGAAGGTTTGAAACAAGCATGTCTGTATGATCATTTGTGTGTGAACTGACCTAAATGTAATCAACGCTGGGTGACTTGATTTCCCCAAAGCTCAGTGTTTTCCATGTTTTAATAAGGAGCAAACACACGTCCTCAGCTTCATTAATGATGCTTTTAGGAGTTTGTTAATGATGACATGAGCTGCAGGTGATGCTGATCTGGAGTCTGTTTACATATGCATGAGCTCCTCATACAGGAAAGCTGACCTGCTTCAGCACGTCCAGTGAAGAGAAGTTGACCACAGAGTTATAAGGACAGAGCAGCTGATGCTGCATTACTGCTCATCATGCCAATAACTGAACCCCCGGCGCTGATGATTGAGGCTGAATCCACTGTACGGGTGCTGGACTCTTTGTCCTCCTCCTCCTGCTCTTCAACACGAGTCT